AACCTTATAAAATTCCATATTGGAAAAAAGCCTGTATTAATTTTAGTGAAATTAATTACACAAAGAGAACATTCTAAAAGTTTCTGGAAAGAAAAAGGAATTGTCTAAAAAGAAATGCAAGTTAGATTGACTATGGCCTTCTCAATAACAGTCCTGGATACAAGAAGATAAAAAGTAATATTTGGAAAATTTTGAATAAAAAATAAAGGATGTCACATTTGTAAAGGTATATCCAACTAAACTATCATTTAAGTGTGACAGCAAATGAAACATAAACATTTATCACAACCCAAATTAAAATTTTAGGCAACATCAACATGGTGGAGGTGGTGGCTGCAGGAGAATGGAATGGTTATGTAAGGCGTTTAAGCTATTCAGGGGACTATGTAGACACTTGTTTAAGAAACTGGCAGAAAAATAAATAAGAGCTTGGGTTTTGATAAATTGAGATTAATTACCAGAATAAAAATATGACCGTTTAAATCACTTATCAGCCAAAAAAATTTGATTCACATAGTAGAAAAAAAAGGGAGAAGGGGAATCTAATATATATTCACAAAATAAAGTGGCATGTAAGCCCTAGTATAATAGTGATTGTAATGCAGTACATGTAAATGGTTTAACTAATTTGTACAAGACAGAATGCCTCAAAAATTAATTAAAAATTCAGAAATAAATTCTTAATAAAGAAAGCTCTTAAGTATAGAAGTTTGAAATTAACAGGTGAAAAAGAAATATCAGATAGATATGAAACAAATTTTTTTTTTTTTTTTTTTGCAGTTTTTGGCCAGGGCTGGGTTTGAACCCACCACCTCTGGCATTTGGGGCCCGCGCCCTACTCCTTTGAGCCACAGGTGCTGCCCAAAACAAAATTTGTGGTAGCAATTTTATTTTATTTTTTATTTTTATTTATTTATTTATTGCAGGTTTTCTTGGCTGGGGCTGGATTTGAACCCACCACCTCCAGTATATGGGGCCGGGGCCCTATTCCTTTGAGCCACAGGCACAGCCTGTGGTAGCAATTTTAATATCGGACAGAACAGAATCCAAGGTGGAAAATGTCATAAGGCTCACAAAGGAACAAAATAGGCTATAGAAATGAAAAGAAAGTAGTTATGAATGTATATATATACCTAACCATAGAGCCTAAAACAAAGGGAATATCAAACGACAACTATAGGATGAAATAGGTACATCAATAGCTGCATTTGGAAATTTTGACTCATTCATCTCAGAAACCAACATATCAAGAAAGCTGTAGCACGCTTGGATCACATAATTATAAAGCTCCAGAAAATAGATATATAAATTATACCAAGTATAGCTTTGTAGCAAATTGAAATAGCTTTTTTTCAGGCAAGAGGCACTCATGAAAATAGAGCATCTGTAACTCTAAAAGAAAGCCTCAATACATTTTAGTCATAACATTGTCCAGACAACCTTTGCTCTCATTTCTGAGAATTGAATCTATATGGACTATGGCAATGAGCTGCCCTGCCCTCTGGCTTCCAGTAGAGTTCACCCAACATGGAGTCTCAGCAAAAGGGAGGGAGGTGGTAGCATGGGGTACTTATCCCGGGTTCCTGCTTTGTGTGGTCACCTTGGGCTGGCTGCAATTCTCCACTGGAAATCATAATTGCTGTCTGAGAAGCTTTCTCCACACAATTCCCTCCCTATGTTCCGGTGACTTTGCCTTGTCCTTGCCTTGTGGCCATCACGACCTAGTCCATGTAGCTCTAGAGCATCACACTATCCCTTTTGGTTTCCCTGCACCCACGTGCATGTTTATAAGTGATCCCGCTAATGAGCTTTTTCAATTATTCTAATGTGAGTCTTCTACTTGTTTGCTGGTGAGATCCTGATGACACAACAGGGAACCCTTACTATAAAAGGCAATACAGAAAAAATAAAAACCTTTGGAAAACATCTTACCTATCAAGAGAAACTTTTGATGTAGTCTCTTGAAGATTAGAATCAAGACAAAGATGTCTGCAATCACTGTTACTGTTTTGCATAGTTCGTGAGGTCTGGGATAATACAAAAAGAAAATAAAAAGAATGAGACACAAAGATTGAAAAAGATGACTGAAAATATTAAGATATTGCCAATTGTCCTTTGATAATAGGTATCTATATAAAAACCAGAATCAGTGGACACATTATCAGAAGCAAAAAGAGAGTTCCATGTGGTTGCAAGATTTAAGATTATTTGAAAAATGAAAAATGTTCATCTAACACCAGTTATCTATTGCTACATAGTGAATTGCTCCTAAGCATATGGCTTAAAATAACAAACACACCAGAACCTCCACCACTGACCACCTCCCTACATTGACAACCTCCTTAAGTTGACCTAATTTTTATAGACTGAACATGCACCACTTTCCATATCAGTACAGTAGGCCTAGTTCCTTATGTTGACCCCCTGTCTGTTGGCCAGTTTGTTATAGTCTCTTGGGTGGTAAATGTACAGAGATTCTACTATATTTGTTATCTCATAGTTTCTGTGGGTCAGGAATCCCAGCTTGGCTTAGCTGAGTGACTTGGGTTAAATTGTGCTATACTGTGGGGCTGCAATAATCTCAAGGTTCAACTGAGGCTCCTTCATGTGGCTGCTGGCAAGCTTCAGGTCCTTGCTAGCTGTTAGCCAGAGATATCAGTTCCTTGCACATGGGCCTGTCCAGTGGGCTGCTCATGATATGGAATTTGCTTCCCCTGGAGTGGGGGAGGGGAGAAGACATGGAAGCCACAGTCCTTTTTGTAGCTTAACCTCAGAAATGGTATCCTGGGTGGCACCCATAGCTCAGCGGGTAGGGCGCTAGCCACATACACCGAGGCTGGCAGGTTTGAACCCCGGCCAGCTAAAAGCAACAATGACAAGTGCAATAAAAAAATAGCCAGGGGTTGTGGTGGATGCCTGTAGTCCCAGCTACGCAGGAGTCTGAGGCAGGAGAATCACTTAAGTGCAAGAGTTTGAGGTTGCTGTGAGCTGTGATGCCACAGCACTCTACCAAGGGTGACATAGTGAGACTGTCTCAAAAAAGAAATTATTTTTGTTATATATATGGTAGAATTCTTGAAGCTATAATTGCTGATTATTTATTTATGAAATTTAAACTTAGCATTGCTTATGCCTATGAATAAAGCCATATGTGAGTTCAAAACTCCCATTAGCTTTGCTCCCCTCTAAAGGATAGTGAGAACATTGTGTTGGTTTGTTACAGCGCCTCCCTTTCACCGTCTGTTGTAATCTCATCCCTTGCACTGTTTGTGAGTGCAGTGTGGGACACCAGGAGGTCCTGGGAGCTGTTAGTTGTCTGACATAAAAAGCCTTGGGTCACACTAAAAAGTCTGCACTATTCCTGGAATCCAACCTTCCATCAGAAGGTTTTAGTCAGAGAAATAAAATCATCAGATTTGTTTTTTAAAATGTCGTCCTTGCTGCCTTTTATAGGGTGAGTTGGGCTTGGGAAATGTTGGTGGCAGAGAGAGCTGTTAGGGCCTCATTGCAGTGTTTCAGATAATAGTGATCTCAGGCTGTAACCGTAGGAAAAATCAGAGTGGGGAGGGCATGCTGAAGGGAGGGTGATAAACAGCTCTCAGGTAAAAGCAATGGTCCTGAGCGGCCAGTTAAATGTTGGTGGAAAGAGAGGAGTTGAAGTTGTCACCAGAGTGACCTCAGGAGAAACAGGTTGCATGAAACGTGGAGGTGGGATGGGTGGGAAGAACACAGCAGGGAACTAACATATTTTGTGTTGATTTGGGGCCGGCAAGAGAGCTAGAATGATAGTCACAGATATCTCAAAGCATGAGATTGAAACGTAGAGTTCTTCAATAAAGTGGAAAATAGGGATTTATGGGTGGTGTAAATGGTTTATCAGAGAATGATTGGGACTGACTCTGAGTACTTGGAAACTACGGGCATATAAGTGGTATTTGAGGCCAGGGGAAAAGATGGAGTTAGCACAGGTAGAGCTTCCAGCTTGTCCTAAAAATTATTGTCTATCTGAAATTCAAATTTACCTGGGCACTACGTATTTTATCTGGCTACCGAAACGGGCTGCAAACAGAAAGGCCTGCGGCGACCAGGCAGAGTCTAGGTGGGTGTTTCTCCTGGTGTGGAGGTGGGGGAGACTCTGTGGAGGGGAGAGGAGGGGGAGGGGACTGGAGCACCTGTGTCTTGTCCTAGAGGGCAGCTGCTACCCAGCTGTGGCTGGTTGGGTTTGCAGAGATGGCCTCCAGGGTATTTAATATTCTAATGTTTCAGAACGATAGAAACATATATATTTAATGTGGACTATTCTTGATTTTAAAAGTGGGCAACTCATGCAAAGTAAAACATTGTCAAGTACAAAAAAGGCAGGTCTTGGGTTTACGCAAGGCCCACAGGCCACCGGTCTGCTAGCTCTGAGCTAATCTCTAGAGTGGGTGGGGCAGGTTTTTCACTCGAGAATTGGTGAATTACGGTCATCTGTGAGGTCGGGCAAAGAGCACCTGGGTGTGGGAAAGAGCTAGCGGCAGGGGATGGTTTCCTCTCGCAGAAGGTGAGGGAAGTGGGAGTGGCATCTCCGGCAGTGACGCGGGGGTCTCCCCTCAGTGCCTGAGCCCGCCGCGCTGGGCCCGCTGGGTGGCTGGGCAGCAGGTCACACCCCCAGGGCTACACCCCAGCTGACTTGCTGCCACCCAGGCAGGCCAGCAGAGCCTACCAGCCTTCCAGGTAGCACAGCGACAGCGACTGAGGCTTCGAAGGCTTTCATCAGAAAATTGTGGGCGGAAACTTCCAGGGGTTTGCTCTGAGCTTCTTGAGGCTTCTCAGCTTCAAAGTGAGTGGGTGTCTCGCTGAGAAGCCGAAACACAGACAGAAAGGGAGAACGAAAGAGAGAAGAGAGCACGCGAGAGAGGTGTTTCCCTCCCCCTGGAAACTCTATAAAAGAGCGGCTTCCCTTCTCTTGAGCAGTCAGCGACAGGAGGCCGGTCCTTGGGACTTGGGCCTCCACAGCACTGAGAAGTAAACTCCCTGCTGGGGCCGCCCGAGTCACTGCCATGCAGCGGCCTTTCAATTACCCATATCCCCAAATCTACTGGGTGGACAGCAGTGCCACTTCTCCCTGGGACCCTCCAGGCTCAGTTCTCCCCTGTCCGACCTCTGTGCCCGCAAGACCTGGTCAAAGGAGACCACCGCCGCCGCCACCACAACCGCCACCACCACCACCACCACCACCACCGCTGCCCCCATTGCCCCTGCCACCCGTGAAGAAGAAGAGGCAACAGAGCACAGGCCTCTGTCTCCTCGTGGTGTTTTTCATGGTTCTGGCAGCCCTGGTTGGATTGGGGATGGGGATGTTTCAGCTCTACCACCTGCAGAAGGAGCTGGCCGAGCTCCGAGAGGTAAGCCGGGTGGGGGGTGGGGGGTGGGGGGTTGGGGGTGGGGGTGGGGGGCTGCTGTGCCCTGGAGTCGCTGGGTGAAGCGCGGCTCTGCTGCATTTGGGGTGGAGGTAGAGGTGGGGGTTTGGGGGTGGAGGTGGGGGAGGCTGCTGCAGCCCACGTGGACCCCAGTCTGCTTTGCAAGCTGAGTTTCAATCCTTCTTTTCTGTCTTACAAATGGATTATTCTTAGGCAGAGAAATAGAGGACCATTTTCTAGCTTGTAAATGTAAAATAGAAATAGAAATTCTGCAAAACAGAAATATTTTCTATCTTGTAATGCATCAGAGCCCCCATTTCGTCCTTTCTCAATTGTCCATGCAGTCTTTGGTCCACTTACTGCCTCCTAGTTAAGGATTCAAGGGATTGAAAACACTTTGAGTCTTGCCTGGAAGTAAGTTTGTTCAACTGCCTGACTGAAGCTTGAAAATACTTAAATATACTGATACTATTCCAAATCACAAAACTGAGGGACAGCAAGGCACAACTGCTTGGCCATATCCAGAGTTAGAATAAGTCTGGAGATATTTGGATTCTTTTTCTAGGCCTCTTTTGCTTAAAGAACTTCTTATGTATTATATATCTTTTCTCTCTCTCTCTCTTTTTTTCTGCTAGTCCATTGGACAAAGTCATACAGCATCATCTCTGGAGAAGCAAATAGGTAAGTCCTTTTATACATGTACTTTGAGTTCCCAAAGATAACCCTCACCACTGACCCACCTTGATGGAATGCCTTCTATTCTGTCCCATTCTTGGGCTTATACTGGGAGAAGAATTCTGGCTAATTCTGAATCTCTGCTCAATATGGTTCCTTAGACTGTTTTAAAATCTGAAATGAATCTAATTGCTCAAAATCCGTGTCACCGAGCACTGCACACAACTCAAAATCATTTCCACTTGGCTTTGGGAAGAGACACACATATACAACTGTGGACCTTTGCCCCTTGGGCAGCTGGCTGGAAGCCCCTCCACTTCCACAGGCTTCCTGGGCCTGGCACACATGCCAGGGGCCAGTAGTCCTGGGACGAGAAGGGGAGCATGAGGGAAAGTGAGGGCAGAGAGAGCTGTTTCTGGGAAATGTCCTTTCATCTTTTAATCTCTCTAAAAGAGATTACTCAAGAGTCAAGCTTTATTTTAAAACTATTTTATAGGATATGACTAAGCTTTTAAGAAGTGGGCATTCACCCACATTAGGATGGTTCTTTTGAAGTCACTGTGAAGCTCAGGGGAAGACTTGAGCCATCATTCAAAGGACTGCTCTGCTTCAGCCATGGTCAGGAACTGCCTTTTATTAAAAAAAAAAATCCTGTGTGAGAGAGCCAGCACAGGAAGAAGATGAAATATTGAATACTGACCTCATGAAATTTCAGGGCATAATTTTGGAAACCGTGGACAGAGATCTTAGGATGTGTCTCGTTTGCCTTAAACTAAGAGGCATTCAATTTTTAGAGTTGGAAGGGAACTTAGAGTGTATCTGATCCAGCCACTTCATTTCTTCAGAAGAGAACAAAACTCCAGATGATATATGTCTGAGACCACTCGTATGGAACTGGGGCTAGAGGTAATGTGGGCTCTTGGTGCCCTGTCCCCTGTAGGGCTCACCAGCACATGGATTGGTGCCTCATGAAGTAAGGCAGCTCCTGTGTAGAGTGGCCATGGAATGTGAAATAAGTGAAAAGCAGGATACCTCTGCAGAGACAATAGGTAATTCTCATCTTTAGACACTCAGAGGAAAACAGATGGCAGCACTGGCCATCTCAGGACTGGCTGCCATCAAGCCCCCATCTGTCTTCTGTCCTAGCATATGTAGGAGCCATTGTTGGGACGATCTGGTCTTGAGTTCTGGGTTTAGGTGTTAGAATGTCCCTGAACACAAGCAAAGTGGAAATATTTGTTAGAGAAAGGAAGCCTCTTGAAAACTTCTAGAATAAAATCATTGTGAAAATCAGTGGAATGTGGCTGGTCAGACAGGTACCTAATTACTCATCTTTCACCCACTCTGTGGAATGATTTCAGTGATTAAAAGTCAAATGAACAGATGAGTCAGTTCTACCTACCCTAGTAAATAATTACCTTCCCTGTTCAACCCAGACAGCCCAGAAATTGGTGAATTATCACACTGAAATCAAATTAGTTACTTTACTAAAAAGATAAAGAGATGAAGGGTAAAACGTAGAGATACCTACTTTTATCCATCAAATTAGTAAAGAGTAAAAATAAAAACCTAGACTGGCAAAGATGTGAGAGACAAGGGCCTACTTGCACATTAGTTTTAGCCAGTGTATGTCTAAATTGCTATAACTTGTACACATTCAAATCTTGAAGCTATTAGCTTACTCTGTAATTCTATCACTAAGAGTTTATCTTAATCAGAGAAGTGCCTGTAGATTTACATATAAGAATACTTATCACTTCCTTATGAGGCTATTTGTAATGAACAATTCAGAAGAAACTTAAGTGCCTCATGATAGGAGATTAGTTATCTATGTATTGGTGTATTCAGATGAAATAAAAACATTCAGCAACTAAAAAACATATATCAGGACATTTAGTGCTACAGGGATTGTGCAGTCTGTATGGTAAATAAAAAGATAAGTTGCTAAAGGGTGTGTTTAGTTTCATACTGGCTAAATATGCATATGTGCATATTTTTATATTCTTAGGAAGGAATTACAACAGTGCTAACAGTGATTTTTCTCTGGGAGGTACTATCATGGATTATTTACACTTTCTTATTTGCTTCTTTTTACATTTCCCATTTTTTTCCACACAGTGGAAATTCACTAATTGAAATCCTTTACTCATTTGCAAGGATTTTCGGAGAGCTTCTGGTGTGGAAGGTTAGGTACATGGGGGTTGGATGCTGATTGAGAGAGAGAGACAGCCGAGGAGGCCTGTCCCCGTGGAACTTTTAGTATAGAGGAGAGAAAATCAAACAAACAAATATGTAATTTCAATTGTACTAACTGCAACACAAAATAGAGAGTGGTCTGGAGAATTCCTCTTTAGGAGGTGCTGGAGGGTAGAGTGGGGTGAAGCGATGGGGAAAGCATTCCTGTGCTGAGAATGACCTGTGCAAAGACCCTGGGGGCAGGAAATAGCCATCGCCAGTGTCTAGGATCTATTTCGAGTGCATTTACTCCAGGATTTGCATAGCAGATACTTTCAGTGAGTACCTCCTATGAGAGGAACGTGGTACCAGGCGCTGTGAGGGGCGTCAGGCTATGCAGCCTGTGGTTCTGTGCTCCACTTCCTGTTGGTACATGGCCGAATGCCAGATCAGCTGCTCAGATGGTTTGTGGTATAGGAATGTAGCAGGGACTCAGTTTTGCCTTTCCTGTTCACTAACACCTCATTCATGGTAGGTTGTTGTGGGTGGCTGGAGAGGTCATGATTGCCAGGTAATATTCACAGTGGATCAGGCCATCCTCACGCTATCTGTGAGTTTCACAGGGTAATTGCACGCCTGGTATACACAAATACCTCTCTATGAATCTTTCTCTCTTTTTTTATTTCTTTTTTTTCCACCATAAAAGGAAGAAGAGTGTAGAAATCTTTCCTGAATATTTTAGTTTCTGAATTCACTAGCAAAGTGATAGTCTTTCAACCTTGCTTGAAATATTTGAAGCCCGAGAAATAGTGTCTATTTTGAGAATGACTGTTTGCTTTAATTTCCTCCATTTAATTTGGCAAACATTTACTAGTAACATGCCCTTTATTCACAATGAGGCTGAAAACTCTGGCGAATTCAATATAGTATAGTAAGAAACTTGCCATTATTTACAAAGAGTAAATTATACAGTTACCACAGAGAAGGGGAGACACAACTAACAAAAGAGGGGAAGTTGGAGTAATCGGATTTCAAAGGCGGGGAAGAGCATATTTAATTAAAAAGACTTGGGGAGGGTGTTTCCCCCCACCCCCAAAAAGAGGTGCTTTAGCTGGCCCTCACAGTATTGTTAGGATTTGGCACTTGAGTTCTGATTGGGAGAACATTCTGGCCAGAAGGCACAGAGGTAGGGAAGTGGGTGTATGTTCAGGCCATAGAGCTCTGATTGTGTGGCAGAGTCCAGTGTGAGTAAGAAAATAGGGCTGGACAGACAGGTGGGGTTGTGTGATGGGGGGAACTTGGACACAACTGCTTGTTCGATGAGGGTCCATTAAATGGGTTTGAGGTGTCAGTGTTACAAGGTGATTGTTGAGGCCTTCAGATAAGGAATTTGGGGTAGATGGTAGCCTCTGTCCTGCAGAGTTGGAGGAACAGCAGAGCCAGAGTGGGTAGAGCCCCGGATTTGGATTCAGGAGACCAGAGTGTTGGTTTCCCTTCTGACACTGCGTCTTCTTGGACTAGTCATCCACCTTCTCGGTTCCTCTTGTGACCTGTAACGTGGGACATCATCTCTATCTCAAAGGGTTGTGATGAGTTCTAAACGCAGTAACTAATATGACAGATAGCTCTTTAGGTATCAATCTTTATATTAATTATGTTTTACTGTAATATTATTAATTAAGCATATGGCTATGTTAACATGGTTTATTTTTTAACTTCTCTCTATCTGAAATGCGTAGTGCAGACTGCTATGAATGTTACTGTTTGGACCTACCTGGTTATTATGTTAAGATATTGCCATTTATGATTTTAAAACACATATTTTTTAATGGTAGGATTCAGTCCCACCAAAATCATAGTTGATATCTTATTTTTACATGTATCTTTCATCTTTCCATGATACAGGCACCCCCAGTCCACCTTCTGATAAAAAGGAGCTGAAGAAAGTGGCCCATTTAACAGGTCTGTGTCTGGATAATACAGGTGGGGTCCGGGAAAGCTTTTGGCCAAAGGCATAATGGCTGACTGGTTAGTTTCCATTACTAGGCTCTGAGGGAGTTGCTGCTTTCCAATGGCAGTATTTGGAACCTAAGAATATCACATCTTTATAGTCAGACCAATTTTATAAATATACTTTGAGCCCCTATGCTGGGCAAGGCCCTTTTCTAAACTGGAGATCTGGAGATAATTATGACATGAACCCTGCCCCTAAGAAGTATTTTTTTTTTTTTTAAATAATTCCAAGGACCTTCAGAGGATTTGGGGCACAGCTCTAAGAGGTTCAAGCTGAAAGAGTGGAGAATGAGGAACTATTTTAGTCAGTGCTATTTTGGTTTCTTGGAAGAGCTTCTCTCTGCTTTGTCTAAGAGTAGCAATAGGAGAGGGGACACTCCATCCTGGCACTTGGGGACTTTCAGAATGTGAGTGTAAAGTGGAGTGAAATGGTTTGCCAGCAATATGGTGTGGGCACTCCAACTGTGAACTTCATAAATAATTCAGAAATGAATAAATACTGTAAAAAGTGGTGTCTCACTGTTCCTGGAATTATTTAGGCAAAAACTGTAGAATGATACAGTCAGATCATTAGACACTTACTGAGCACCTGCTGTGTACCAAAATTTGGAGCTATGGAAATGAATACTACGTGGTTCCTGCCTCCAAAGAACTTGAAGTTGAATAGGGAAAGACAGGCACATGGTGAGGATTTCAGTGCTGTAGAGTTCTCTGATTAAGGCATGCAGATCACGCTGGGAGGATACAAAGGAAAGGAGATTTTAGCCCAAATTCAGGGGCTGAAGAATCCTTATTGTAGGTGAGAAAATGGAGCAGACAATCTTAAAGATCTCTCTCAACTTGAGAACTTTAGAGTTCCTTGAATCTGGGTTTTCTTTTCATGGAAGGACCTCAAACCCTTGCCATTTTGGAGCTATTTCTGAAGACTATAAAATCTTTGTTCCAGAGAGCTAAAATTACTTTAATAATTCCTCATTATAATTGATTAGGGGTATATATTATTGTTCTAGTCATGTGGATGATAAAATGAAGGCATGTAATTTGACAAAGGGATTGAAAGAATTCCATGATGGATCAAGTTTTAAGTCCTCAGCCAGTTCTATATGCAGTGCCTTATTCTGGGGAAAACATTTGTTCAAGGAAGAATTCATGGTTTTGCCTTAGAAACTTTTATCAAATGTAATGCATGAGCATTCCTGGGTGAAAGCGCCTCTCATTTATTTCAGGCAAGCCCAGCTCAAAGTCCCTGCCTCTGGAATGGGAAGACACCTATGGAATTGCCCTGCTCTCTGGAGTGAAGTATAAAAAGGGTGCCCTTGTAATCAATGACACTGGGCTGTATTTTGTGTACTCCAAAGTATACTTCCGGGGTCCATCTTGCAACAACCAGCCCCTGAGCCACAAAGTCTACGTGAGGAACGCTAAGTATCCCCAGGACCTGGTGATAATGGATGGGAAGATTATGGACTACTGTACTGCAGGGCAGATGTGGGCCCGCAGCAGCTACCTGGGGGCAGTGTTCAATCTCACCAGTGCCGATCGTGTATATGTCAATGTGTCTGAGATCTCCCTGGTCAATTTTGAGGAATCTAGGACATTTTTTGGCCTATATAAACTCTAAGAAAAGCATTTAGGGATTTTTTTTTTCCTATTACAGTTCCTTACTACAGGTGCTGAAGATGTTGTCTTGAATAAGGGTCTTTTTAAGCCCTCTTGAGATCAAGTAAGAAGATATGAAGCAAGAGGGCCTTGGGACCACAGGGTTCAGCAGGTCTGCAGCCCCTCCTGTAAGCTAAGGGCCATGAGCCAGACAGGAGGAGCAAGATGACTGGTGAACAGAAAATGCTGGGCTGCTGTGACAAGATGCAGAGGCGTGGAAAAGCAGCCACCAGGTGTCCACACTCATCTTAAGTGGCCAAGAGCATTTGGCACATCATAAAGAACACCTTTTAGCTCACCTCTCAGGTGGGTCTACCTGCTACCTCAAGGGAGGCTCTCTTTTGGATCCACCACTGTGACATGAGTGTATGAAGGATGGAAAAGGAGGTGGAGGCTCGTACAATAAGCTAATGAGACTGAAGGAGGCCAGCGCCTCATGGGCACTGTCTTCATTTCCAAATAGATATGTAACCTGAGCCATCATGTAATACTAACAGAGAAGGAAAAGGGATCTTTCAGGGACTCAGTCCATTTTCTACACAGCACATGTATTGCCAGTGCCATTGTAGGAGTGTGTGTATGTGTGTGTGACTAAAGAGTCACATAAGTAGAGAGAATGTGGATATTGTGAAGTTCATATTTGTAAAGTATGGATTGTATTTGGGAGTAGATATTGAATGCTTCTGGCAACCAACTAACTCTAATAGTCTTCAAACATCTTTGATTGTCAGCTACTGATGCTGTTTTCATATGATATCCCAATATTTATATATATTCTGTGCATTTTTAAGGAAAGCCATGTAATAAAAACCATCTTTTCAGATATAGATAAATATAATGAATGCCATTTTTAGCATTCACTCACATTTGAATGCCACTGTTTCCTTCCCTGGTTTCTTCATACCTTCTGAGTTCAGCTCACTTTAAGATGTATTTCCTGGGGTAAGAAGAACTATGAAGCAAATCTTTCCATTTTTGCCAGGCCTTCCTTTTTTCTATATATTCTCTTTCCTCTCCACCTCCCAGAGTTTCCATTACCAATATTATTACCACTGTTGAACTTAGCAGATTTTCCATAGAGTTGATGATGAATTGTCTTTCAATAGAGGCAGAACCATGGCAGAGTGTAAAGGGCATAGAATTTGAAGTAAAAACCTTAGATGTGAATCTTTATTCTTCCACTTGCTAACTATGCAATCTCTGAATAGATCACTTGACTTTTCTTGGGCAAAAAAGAGCTGGAATGTACAAAAGTATCAGATACATAGTAGAATATCAAAAAATGCTATCTACCATTACTAAGGAGCCATTCTATACTAGGTACTTCATTCTTCAGGGGAGCCACTGATATGTGGAGCCATTAAATCCTTGGTTTCCTGCATTCTCAAGCTTGTCACTCACACTGACTTTTTCTTATTTTCTCAAACTACTCCCCATGATGGCTTCTCAGCCTCTCCCTCAACTGTTATTCAAAATTACAGTACCTCCTTTGGAATTTGATTTCAGGTGTTGGATTTTCACAGTATCATCCCCTATGATTCCAGTTCCATTGGTCTAAAATTTTCTTTCCTAAAATAGTGGGGTTTTTTTTTTTAATTGAGACTTCTAAGTAACAAATTCTATTTTCATATATGTCCATCAGCAACTTCCTCATTGTCACTTCTCTGTTCAGCTTAGATTTCATCATCTGTCCTTACAATCAGTACTTCAGAAAGACCCCAAACTCCAAAATACTCTCTTCCTCCACCATGGTACCGTCACAAAAATTCCTGTTTTCTTTAAGCTGGTATCCCAGTGGCTCAATGTTGTTGAAGACAAACAGGCTGGCTGGTTTCATTTTATTCTTTATCTATCATCTATTAAGTTGATAATCAATAACAGATCTATCACTGATTTATTGATTGATTTGAATAGATAATGAATGTACATGATAGAAATTTGAAAGGTACATAAGGATATAGAATGAAAATAACTCCCCTTTCCACCCAGTCTTCTGGCCCCATTTTCGGCCCCAGGCAGGACTATTGTCTCCTTATGTAGCCTTATAGAAGTGGTTTGTACGTAAGTACAATATCACTTTACATCAGGGTTTCCCAGCTTTCGTTTTATTAACATTCTGAGCTATGTAATTCTTTGCTGTGGGGCTGTCCTGTGCATTGTAATATGTTTGGCAGCCTCACTGCCCTCTACCCACTAGATGCCAGTAGCACCCTCCCCTCCCCTGCCTGTGACAACCAAAAAATTTCTGCCCAATGTCCCTGAGCAGGGAGAGGGACAAAATTGCTCCTGGTTGAGAACCTCGTCTTTGCATTAATGATCACAGATCTCAAATGATCGTTCAAAGCTGCCAAGCACTTTCTCTTCAGTTCCCTAGTGAGCATGCTTCTGTACTCTTCCAGTCAATTACATGATATTTTTTCCTCTTAGAAACCCATCACATGCCTCCCCTCACCAGGTGACCATCCCCCATGCCACCTGCATGATCTTTCCCTCCCAGATGGTTACAGTGGAGGAAGTGGACAACCTCCATTTCTCTACTGGATTCACATTCCCTCTCTCCTACTTTGTTGCTTGTAACATTTTCTTCTGTCTGCTAATTTTTCAAACTATACCTGTTTATGAAATCTTTTCCAACACTATGTACATAAGTGCAAGTATCCCCTCTTATTAAAAGACAACTCAAACCAAACCGAACAAAAATACTTTGCTTTACCCTTCATCCTCTCTCCAGCTCTGGCTGCATTCCTTGCTCGCTGGGGAGAGACAAACACCTGAGCAGACCATCTCCACCTACAAGGGCTCCATTTCCCTCACCAGGAATCATTGTCCAGGTTCTTCACATGGAGTTCAAAGGTCATCTCCTCAGATATTCTAAGTACAGCGCCATCTTTTCCTCATTTACTGATATGTCTTCCTTTCTTAGTAACTTATGATATGTTATTCTTTCGACTACTTTTTAAATATTTGAGATTTTTTCCAAAAGTTCCAAAGGGAAGGCCTTTTCTACCTTGTGTAGCAATCTGTCCGCATCACATAACCCAGTGCCTGATGCACATTAGGTACTCAATAACTATTTGTTGGCTGAATAACCTTAACTATAAGGCAAGGGTCTCTCCACTTGGTATGTAGGCATATTTTTAGGAGTAGTGAATCTATGTTAGTGTTGGCTCCTACATGAATGTTAATGCTTATCCAGCTCTATGTAGGTTATCCAATGAAGGGTTGAGGTTATAGATGAAAATAAAAAACACTGCATCCTAATTCATTGCATTCGAAAACAAACAAGATATACAGTAGAGCCCTTGTAAGTTGACCACTCAAGTGTCTGTAACAAACTAGTCAACATATAGAGGTGGTTAACATAAGGAGCTAGGCCTACTGTACTGATACATACATGTGGTACATGGGTGGTCTATGAAAATTAGGTTGACTTAAGCAGGTGGTCAATGTAGGAGGTAGTTAACAATGGAGGTTCTACTATATTTGTTCCCTGACAAATCAGGAGTGAGGGGGAAATCAAGGGAAATTGCCAAGTCACCAGATCTAAAACTATCATTTAGAAGATACTCAATAAATCTTTGTCAAATAAATTAATCAACAAAACCACAGCTCCAGGTTGGAATGTGTCATCTGCTTGCCTTAAAACTCTTTATTCACTCATCTGTTTTGGGTGGTCAGGCTCCCAACCTGGTCCCTCATGAAGAAAGTCAGAGGGGTATTTGTCCTCCTTTGGCTGCTGATCTGCATCCCAGCCCTCAAGATGAAGTCTTCCTCTTCCTTTTATTGCTTTTGGCTTCAATGCTCAGATATGCCAGTTCCCAACCCATGAGAAGTTTGCTGGACCTTATTATTATTATTATTATTTTGTTAATGGACTTTTCCAGATAATAGCATCAGAACAAAGAGGAAGTGGGAAAGAGGCTGGGCCATCCTGAGACCGCTTGATGTCATAGATGGTCGTGACACCACCAGCACTTTCTCCCTTCTAAGGCGTAGCTGTGCTAGGACACCTTTGGAATTTTTCTGGAGATAGGATGATAGTTTATATGCTTTAAGCACTAATTCCAGGGAAAAGAGATTGACAGTCTCTTTAGGAAGCTGGATTTTTTTCCTTTTTTGCATCAGTTGAAACTGATAAGGAATGTCAAAACCCCAATACTTTTGAATGTGTTTATTGAAAATAGAATCTGCATTGTTCCTTTATGAAATTCTTATGAAATAAAGGAACTGTGTACACACATGTGTGCACACATGAGGAGACACAGAAAGGGTGCTTCTAGTTCAGTAGTTTGAGGTTTTCTTTCTTTTTTTTCTTTTCAAACTGAAAACACATTAAACTCACATCTTTTCTTAGCCCCCCAGAGTGGTGACTTTGTATTCTCTGAAGTAGGTTTTGGCTTACCACAGCTGAACAGGAAGAGCGCTCTAGGGTGGGGGGCATGGTTTTTGAAAGTGACTCATTTGAAACAGTCTCTCAGAAGAGAACTGGGGAGAAAATCCTGGCCCACCAAAGTCAGAGTCTAAGCTTTCCTTAATGGGGTAAGCCCTAGACATTCCTTATTCTTTATGTAAGGAAGAGTGGAGTACACATGTTAAATTATGTATTTCAGAGGAATTTGAGTAAGTTTTGGTGTTCATAGAAATACATTTTTCCTTTCTGTTTTTTTTCTTTCTCAAGTTTCTTGATCAAACAAAGACAGAATGAGGTGATCCTAGAAAAGAGGAAGTGGGACTCTCTTCTTTGTGGTATCCAGACTCAGAGAGAAACCCGTGACGGTGCTGTGGACCTTTAGGATCTACCCAGAAACCCACGAGCTTTGGCAGTGTTGATAGTAAAGCATGTATTCCCTCGTTAGAGTTCACCCAGAGGTGAGAAAATATCACCTCAGTGGAGATTTTCTCACTTTTTTCAAAGCTTCCCCTTTACTGGAAGACATTCATTCAGAGTCCTGCTGGTAGATCATCGGAAAAGGGATGATGTCAGTGTTCCCCCATCCTACCTGGAGGCTCCTTCAGCCCAGTTGGTCACCCTTTCTCTTCCTTCTCAACAGAATGATATGAGCTTCCATCTTACATTCCAAAGAAATAGAAGAGCCTTCTCCCCAAGTTTTC